GTCGTTCGCCAGGTGACTGACGTTACATATGAGATCGTTCCAGCCGATTCAACGTCATTATCGTCACCTTTGAGTGACATCGTGCACATAGCTCGACTCAAGCCTTATCACCCTCCTTCTACCGCATCCGAATTGCTCAAGCACCGAGACGGTGCTTCTACCGCCGGGGGGTTATGATACACAACAGCCGGCACAGCCTGGCTGCAAGAAAGAGAAAGACGACGTTGGTGGCTGGTTGTGGATGAACTGTTGCCATCTTGTTCGCCGAGCACGGTGCATTGTATTTAATTTATTAAATAAGTTACCCGTAACAATATATATATATATATATATATATATATATATATACACACGGTGATTGAAGCGCTAGCCTCCTTTTTCTGTGGAGTGAACATCGCCTTTTCGGCCAGGGTCGGCTGCGCGCGGGCTTATCTCGTGAGCGAACCAAGGAAAGGGGTGCTTATGGTTGCGCTCTATCGTGGCAACAATCAGCACGTGGCTTGTGCTGCCACAGCAGGCAGGAGCTTTTACGGGTTGCATTCTCAACACGAAAAAAGGGTGCCAAAAGTGTACCTGGAGTGGCCGTGTTCTGTTACATCGGCGTTTTGTAGAGGTACGTGATATCGGATCTAAGTGAGTTGACTACCAGCCTCACTATGTAAACATTGCAATTTGTCGTAAAGATCACATCACAGAAAACTTGGTTACTTAGCAGGCCCATGCTTAATACAAATAATATTGCTCCTAAGTATGCTAGCCTTACTTTGTAGAACATTCTAATATGTTGCTATCACATTCCTTGCTTCGCTTTTTGGCGAAACTTTGACTTTCTTTGTGAGAAAGCAGAAAAAATGTTGCACGCATTGGTCGTGTCAAGCCAATCAAAAACGAATGGCCTTTGTCGTCATTGTTACGTGATACTATGTCACTTCACATAACAAAAATAGCCTATATGTGTCGCTATAGTTGAAAATCACGGTAGTTTATCGCGTGAATAACGATCTAACGGCAGCTTCGCCTTCGGCCTTACCACCTGCGCAAGGAAATCAGCACACTCCTCAGCACCAGAATAATCTATAAAAAATACACGTTGAAATTGTGTCACAGCGCCCCTCTAAATGTCGAACTGTGACAGTTGCTAGTTCGAACTTGTCTTCTGTATGTTCTTCGGGCACATCTTTTCGGCTTGAAGAACGAGCGGCAAGTTTCGAGTGATTGGTTATTCTTTGCGTGACGTTACAATTTCTTCCTATAGCATTCGATTCTTCGACCTTTTGGCAAACAAGGCACAACTACGTCTATGAAGACAGGTCTCACTTTCTCGTTATTTTTATTTTTATGACAGAAGCATCAGTATTTTTTTTTTCAAGTTTTATTTTGCGTCTTTTTGGCCAAATGGTTGTGATAGGCTTAGATATTAAATGTTTCCTTTTCAAAAAAAGCAGTTGAACGTTCGTGGTTAATCCAGCTTACTTCTGTCCTTTCATTTATTGTTGCCATGCACATTGCACTTTGGGCATGACGAAAAAATATCTGGGAATTAGGTGGGGGAGGACTCATAGAGTTTTCTAAAATTAACTAGAGGGGACGGTGGCACTGCGATTGTAAGTCACCATGGGAATAATGGGTAGTGCACAAATATGCCTAGTCTTTGTGCTTGCGGGCTTAGAACGCATGTATGGGTTCATTTATTGCTGTGTTTTGGTATTGTTTCAAATAAAAGAACGGACCATTGTGAAATTCGTGAGCAAATTTTAATCTGTGGTCCTGCGACAAAGCAAATGCAAGCCACGTGTAGTCCAACGGAACCGAAAAAAAATGAAGACTAGGCAATTTTGTGTTTTAACCATCAATTCCATGCATGCTAAAGTGCTGTTCGTTGCAGCTTTCATAAACGCCAGAATTGCTCCTAATGAACTTGTTTATAGAGAACCCTATTGATGCTCGCACTAAGAACCCTATCACTCGTCTTCTAACTCAGCACGTCCACGACAGGGATTTTATATTCTGACTTTTATATTCTGATTTTCAAGGGTGTTCTTGTAGTAGTAATAAATGAATAATCTCGAAAAAACTTAAATATTTGATTGTTCTTTAATACCACCATTCTTAAGAATGGAAGCTTGAGCGAGTTGGTATGCATTCATATTGGTTGAACAGCGCAGCATGAGATGATAACAAAGTAAAAGAACATAGACAGACGCTGACTCACAACTAAAATTTATTTGGGAAAGAACAGCTGACATATAGGTGAAGTGCAACTTAACGGAAAATTTAAAAAAAACAGCGTAGTCAATTTCATTGAGCGATGCAGAATTTAGCTACCTTTCCTGCACCTGCAGAAGATTATGCCAATATATTTTTTTTTCTCTTGCTTGTGGGGTGTTTGGATGTATTGCTGTTTGGTTTCTTTTTTGCATTTTCTGTTAGGTTGCACTTCATCATCAGCTGCTCTTTTCCAAATAAATTTTAGTTGCGAGTCAACGCCTGTCTGTGTTCTTTTATCATATATACTCGCATAATAGACCCATCTTTTCTTTAGAAGAGTTGACGCCAATTTGAGGGAGGGTTCATTACGTAGGATAAAAAAAGTCACGGGAGTTATAAATGTGAAAATATCGCACGGTTGTGTTGGCCCGCGAAATGCGTGACGAATTTTTTTTGTAGCCTAAAGCTCGTCCAGTTTTCTCCCATAATGAACGCGCACAGATTGGCGCCAAAGTGTCATGCCCCAGTGCATGCAGCTGTGTAGCTAGCGAACAGGCTGAAGGTGTCCAACTAAATTCACTACGACAAACCTGACAACAAAAACGCAGTTTAGGATGGCGGCGCACAAACATTGTGAATGCACAGCGTGCGGTCGGCGCAGTTTGCACTTTGCATGGCCTCCGAAATGGAGGACATGCGGCGTGTTTTTACGCAGTGCACCCGTCATCTCGGAAGCCATGTGCTTTGTTTTTGTATCGCTGTGCTTGCGTGGCACTAGAAGCAAAAAGGTTTCTTCTACATTCAACGGATGGCGCTCTACCGCAAAAGGCATGACTTAAAATTTTTGTTGACGTCATCCGTGCTCGCCCTGCTTGCAACTGTTAAGCATGGTTGCCTCACTATATTTTCTCTTTTATTTAATCATTATTTTGTGATATAACAGCTTGATTTAACATTGTTTCGATTTTCAATGACACAGGCTATCACATCAAAATGATATGAAGAGATCCATTAAAAAATTACCTTTTTTCTTTCTTCAAGGACCAAGATGGGGTTGGGTTCATTATGCGAGTAAATATGGTAGTTTGTCGACGTCTCTTGTGCGCTGTTCAGCCAAGATGAACTCTAGCTTTTCTTGAGGATAACGATTTAGCTTCATGGTCTTATTGTAGAAGCATAGAAGTATTGCACCTTCTCCTTCTTTTTTCTTTGATTTTCTGTGTAATCATAATGTAGTATTGGAAATATTCTTGAGGGTTTCATATGAGCATTTCTTGGCTCATCCATCAGCTACGTATGAGAATAACATCATCATCAAAAACAAGACAACATGTTTTAACAAGATTGTTTGCTGGCCTAGTTGGTACTGAAAGACGTGATTTGGCTGCGAAATACTGCATTGTAAAACCTGCAAGTGTCAGCCACATTATAAAGAGACAATACTTTTAAGCAGAAGCAAGTACCAGACAACGTGTGAGTTGATGGAAGGCTCACCACATAAAAAAGAAAGTTCTATCAGAGATATGTCTTTCACGTTGTATGCATGGGAAATAAAATTGTTTGATCGCTGGATAGCATAAGTTGGGATGAGACTGCGCATTTATGTTGCTCATGTATTTTCAAATTAGTGCCCAAAATAGTTCAGTTGAAAATGTTGTTTGCCCTTTCATCGGGTCTCTCCTTTCCTGTGGGTTCTGATTCATGGCTGAATTATGTGAACAGGCTCCTGTCAGGCATGTATGTGGTTACTCACATGTAATATTTAAGAGGGACACATGCGTATGCTTTCCGCAAATCATTTTTATTCTCGCAGTGTTAACAAGACGCACACTACATGGGGCTTAAATCAACATTGCATGTTTGGGTCAGATGATGTGTATAGCCAACGTAGTGCCTGCATGTTGGTACACATTTGTTATGCCTGTCCTGTTCAATTTTACTTACTCTTTGCTATAGATTTTTTTTGTTGCAATTAATGAATCTGCTTGATTTCGTGGCAACAGCACTGCCTTAAAAGCCACTCTGGGAATTGCGTGAATAGGTCATACATATAAGCTGTTCCTCCAAATCATGCAGCAATTTGAACAGGGAACATTTCTTTAAAACAAGCTATAACTTCAGATGTATTTGGTACCTGTACCACATATTAAAACAAAATACGGTCAACGAAAACTTGCGGTGCTGATTCCTAGCCTTCTCAACGACTATACCTGAACAGCAGATTTCCTCAATGCTGGAATTACCAAGCGAGCAATTCATAAAATGATAAGAAAAATTAACAATAAGAGAATCATTACTTTCAGAGGGCTAAAACTAAAGTTACTAAACTACGAAGACTTATTCCGCATCAATGTTGTTGTTTTTTTTTTCGCAAGTGGCTCATGAGCCCTGTGATGTTGTTCCTAATTGCCATTCATTCATTTGTTTTTTGGTTTCGTTTCTTTTTTCTCGACAGTTATATGTGTATTTTTTGTTGTATATTTGAACTGCTCCTTTTGTACTGCTGAATAACTGTCAAACTGTATAGTGTTGTTGTTCTTGTGTTTTTCCTTTATTACCTTTAATTTTTATGAATTGTAAATTTAATCTTGTAAATCAAGTATAGTGATTGATTTTTGTCCATGCCTTAATATATTGTATATTTTTGTGCTGCTACTGTATGGGTGGTATGCCCAGTCAGGCAATGTTTGCCTTGTCCCGTAGGACAATTTCAATATTGTTGTAAATGAACCAATAAGGAAATAAATAAAGGAAGAGATAGTGCTGACCTGCATCACGTGTTGCCGTTCCAGCAATGGTATGCTGCCCAAATGAGCTTGCTGTGTTCTTGGCTTTCGGAGCGCCTGGATCACGGACTCCACTCAATCCAGCTATCGGCACTACTCCACATTGCTCGGGTAAGGCATTACAAAAAAGATATATCGTATATTACGTTCCTTCTTCTGCATGCTCATCTGCAATGTTAATGTTTTGGCTCCTTTTGTGCACTGCAGTTTTCTCGTGAAAATTAATAATGCAGCATCTACATGTAAAATATATTTTTTTGGTACACAGCGTCTGATCTTGCTAGCAAAACGAGTGTAGCTGTTCATGCCACTATTCCTTGTTTGAATTAATTTTTGTGGTTTCTTCTATTTGCTTTTGTTAAAATTACTTCATCATTTACATTTTTGATTGTCTTGGTTGGCTTTTTAGTTTTTATCATTTATGAATATTTTATTCTTTATTACAAAAGCTATAGAAATTATTTAAAATAAATGACTCATGGTTCGCCTAGTTTCCTGAAAACCCCCGTTTATGTTTTGTTAGGAGGTCCCCCACGACAGTTTTCACTCCGGGACCTCTGAAGTTGCACTTGTTGTCCACCTTGTATTCTCGTCAAATTTTATCAAATAAGTGTCACTTTAAATACAGGTACTCAACTCATTTCACCACTACCATTCAGCACTACCAAGGCTACAAGGTGTAAGTGAGCTGCGCGTTTGTACAGGAAAGTATATAGTAGTAGTAGTAGTAGTAACAATAATAATAATAATAATAATAATAATAATAATAATGTTTATTTTCAACATGTTACATCTCGACATGTTCCATGTGAATGAATGATACGGCTAAAGGCAGATTAACTGCCTGAAAATGGCCCTACCACCCATGCACTGTTCATCAGGCTTTTGAACATATATAAATTATACAATTACTTAGAAAGCGGAAGCACCAAGAGAAAAAAAGACATGAGTGTACTATCAAGAACAGCTCATGACATACATGAAATAAATTAAAGTACTATTTTAATACAAATGTCATACACCACATAACGCTTGAGGCCCCGGCTCATACTATGAAGGCACACAGGACCAGAAATAAGACTTGACGACAAGCCTAAACACAAATTTTGACATGGTTTTATTCACAAAATGTAGAACTTACAGATTTTGATTTCAAAAAGAAGGTATCAAGTATTCAAGTTGCTTAGTTCCGTATTTAGTTCTACAAAGCGGAAGTACGAAGTGGCTTTATCTTGGACTAGAATGCTCACGTGTGGCTAGGAACATTTGTAAAAATGTTGATTTATCTTCTCGTATGTCTATGTGTATGTATTTGCAAGTCTGAGGTTATATAACAGATCAACTTTTAATATCTCATTTTTTTGAGTAGAATGGTGCTGTGCGATCAAGCCATTCAAGGTTTTCTATGTGTCAGACAGCTTGCTTTTGAAGGACTGTCAGCCTACCTAAGTTTGTTTTGCTTGTAGTGCCCCAGATTAGTAAGCAACAACGTAGCTGAGAATGTATCATCGAATAATACAGCTGACATTTTAGCCAAGTTGGAAACACATGCCGGATTTGAGGAAGCTTTCCATTAGATGTGGAAATGCTAGTACGTAATTTGTTTACATGATGAGTTCAGTTGAAATGTTCGAATAACACTCCCAGACATTTCACCGGTACCCAGTCAATAACACAAGCATCAAAAGAAAGAGAAATGTCCGCATCATCAGGTTTGTTCCTAGGTTTTGACACATTTAGCTGAAGTTGGTTGAGAGATTTCCACATCGCAGGTCATGCAACCAATATTTCACTGCTGTTTCCAAGTGCGCTAAACTTTTACCAGAGAAAAATAAACTAGTATCATCGGAGCAGAGGATCATTTTAGGTGTATGCAGTATATTCACGATATCATTAATATAAATGATAAAAAATAGGGTACCCATAATGAACCCCTGAGGTACGCCACACTTTATTTCTTTCAAGTCTGTGCATACGCTGTTATGGCTCACTAATTGAAATCTGTCTGTAAAATACCTATTAATACAATTTAAGGCAATGACTCTAATTCCACATATAGGTAGCTTTTGAAATAAAGTGTGATGCTTTTTTCAATCAAAAGCTTTTTTTGAAGTCAAGGAGAAACTCCAAAAGTTTACAGCTTATTTTCAAAGTTATCTAGTATATTTGGCGCTCAGGCTTGGCGGGATGAAGAAGAGTGTTGCGACAATTCATGGTCGATTCCTACGAGTGGATATGAGCCATGTTTGAGGAATCATCATCATTTTGCTTCGCAAGTGGCATAAGAGTGGTGCACTGTTCGGTCCTTTTCTGGCGGTTTCTCGTCAGTACAGTGACTAGACTAGGGAAGTGCGATGAACGCGCCGGATAGCGCGTAACGCGTTGGGAGGAAACCACCAGGTAGCGCTGGCAAACGTTTGCACGTCACCCTAGCCGACGATGACCATGCTCAATAAGTGTGGCAGGACCTCTTTAAATTGGAAGGAAGGGCTTCGCGGCAGAGCGGATTTTTTTTTTTTTTTTTTTGATAGGTGCTTTTACTGTTTAGCATCCGTACACTGCAGCGAAACCACCTTTTCAAGCAGTTGCATGCGGATCAATGTACACCTATTCAGTTCACTGCGAATACTTCAAATTTTCAATAATTTAAATTTGAATTAAAGCAGATTCAAGTATTCTACTATTTGTTATGAGCCTAAAAAACAGAAGTTGGCCAAGGATGAGGCCTTTTGTTATCCTGGAGTTTACTGGTGTTAGGGTGGATCTTTCGTCTTCTACGAAACACATTGGTCCCTGAGGGAAAGGTGTGCCCAAATCCATGCTAGCAAGATTCATTTTTTTAGGGTTGGTTTTAATTTTATAAGCAACTCTTGATGGGAAACGCGATAGAATGGTTTTTTGAAATCAAGGACAATCAAGTCAATTTAACTATGATTACCTAGAGCTCATGCGAGGTCATCAATTGTCGCAAGCAATTGCGTCATCGTTGAGAGCGCTTTCTGGAAACCGTGCTGCTGCGGGTTGATGATGTTATTAGCTTCAAAGAACGCCGAGATGTGTTTAAATATTATGTGTTCAAGTAATTTTGCACATGCACATAAGCACGAAATAGCCTTGCATGATGGCACTAGCGACTTGTTGTTGGATTTAAGTAAGTAGCCCCGCCGCAGTGGTCTAGTGGCTAAGGTACTCGGCTGCTGACCCGCAAGTCGCGGGATCGAATTCCGGCTGCGGCGGCTGCATTTCCGATAGAGGCAGAAATGTTGTAGGCCCGTGTGCTCAAGTTTAGATGCACGTTAAAGAACCCCAGGTGGTCGAAATTTCCGGAGCCCTCCACTACGGCGTCTCTCATAATCATATGGTGGTTTTGGGACGTTAAACCCCACATATCAATCAATCAAAGATTTAATCAAACTCTTGTTGTCATTGTACGTTGCGTCAGACCACTGCAATTGGGATCTTGTCCTTCCATATGTGACATTCAAGTACAACACTCGCACCCAAGCCACCACCGGATTGTCGCCATTCTGCGAAGGATAAGGTCATTGAAGTGTTGACTGTGCTCTTGCGAGGTAGTCGGCGATGTCATGCGATCAGTCACCTCGTTATGGGCACAACGCGTTGATGTCGAAGCCCCGTAGACCCATCTGTTGCTACTGGCAACAGCGGTATGTGTGCCCGGCCTCGTCGCCATGGTAGCAGAGCGGGCGGTTGTCAGGTGCTTGCGAAACGTCAGTTTTCTTCGATGCACTGCGCTGACCCGCTGGCGAACAGTAGGGCCTCGGAGGTGGTGGTGGCGGCGGTGGTGTCTGGCGACGGAAATGCAACGGGGCGGCGTTTTGGCGTGGGCATGAAGGAAGGGCTTGACGGTGGGCTGCAGCAGCATAGCTCATGGCTTGTGGCTCAGGCTGTGCTGGTTCGGGTGTCCGGAAAAATTGCTGGACTCTCTGCCGTACAACGTTGGTGATCGGGTCGACGAAATGCTGTGAAGCTGGCAGCGATTTACGCAGCTCTTCCCATACGATCGCTCGTATCGTTTCGCGAAGGTTATCAGAGGCGAGAGCATGAAGAGCTGCGCTGTATTCCATCGTTAGCCAATTGTACTGGCGGGTTCGCATTTCCAGCGTGTTCTCGATAGATTTTGCTTCCAACAGGAATTTCTGGATGGTCATCGGGGGGTTTGGAATCAGTCCAGCGAAGAGTTCTTGCTTGACCCCTCGCATGAAAAAACGAACTTTTTTCTCCTCGAGCATGTCGGGGTCAGAGTGGTGGAAAAGTTGCGTAATTTTTTTGCATTATTACATTTTACAGATTATTACATTTTCATTCGAGAGTCACACACTCATTTCCAGCAACCTCGTGGCTCCTACCTTGCAGGCAATGCTCCTGAACGTATCCAAGAATACCCCGCAGAAGAGATCCCATGTTTGAAGGGCAGACTCCCCATTCTCGAACCAGGTCCTAGCCGCATCCTTCAAATAAAAGTAGCTTCTCTTCTGTGATCCAGCTGTTCAGGACGGCAACCCGGTCATAGGTCTTTGGCCAGGTCTCTGGATCTTCAAATCATGACCCACCGAAAATTGGTGGTTCCTTTGGCCGCTGCATCACGATCGCGGGCTGTGGCGCAGCAGTTGTCATCAATGCCGCGGTCGATATCATGGTCTTGGTCTTCCGAGTCTTGTCCGGTAAAACCCTATACTCCGGCGACAGACCTTGTTGCCTGCTGCTAACTCGCTGCTTGTTGCTGGGGTCGGTGTATTCTTCGCGGCATGGGCTGGGTTCACAACTTGATAGGGATGTCTGGTACATGGAAGAAACAGCACCTCCACCAGATGTCACGGGGTCGTGACTTGGATGAATAGAGCACACTGCGAGTCAAACAATAAACTTTATTTGGGCGAACCTGTGCCCAGTGAATGGAAAGTCAGATCACAGTAGCAGTCTTACACTGATAGCGGCGTACAGAGCGTCGGCCGTCGATTGGTAGTGATAAGCAGCGAAGCGTCTCGACATGTATATTCTTGCCATCGAATATTCTAGCCTTATTGCTAGTGGCAATGTAAGTTCTCAAGTAATCTGTGACGCTCCCGAAGTGGCCGTAATCTTGACAA